TGTTTGAATATATGTCGAGTATATTTCCACTTTTGAAAGGAGAAATTTGGTTCACCGATATTATAGTAATGGCCAATGAATGTTATATCAAACAAATAATATTAATTTATAGTTATACTGAAAACAATTTCTGGTTGAAAACGGACGCATCACAATTTTTTGGTTAAATGTATTAGCATTTTACTTGAAATATTCGAAATTTATACAATATTTCTGTTAAAATCAACTAAAATTTTAATTTTTATCAGAATAATATTATATTAATATATATAAAAAAAAAGAAGCCACACTTGTGGATCGTGCTATATAAAATTTATGTTTAATCGTATAATAACAATAAAACAATCATACATACAAACATTTCGACCTTTTTACATCCGGTCCTCTTCAGTGTCATAATCTTAACGAAAATTTTAAATAGCTTTTTTTGATTGATTTTAAAGTATAAATGTATTACATTCAATATATATATATTTTTTAGAAATTTAAAATGCCTATTACAGTCGAAGCTGTATCTTCATTGCTTTAAATAATTCATTCTTGAATTACTAATATCCACTATATATATATTTGCATATATACCATTTTGTAGTCTTTTTGACTGCGCGCCGAATTATTTTTTCGGACTATAAACTCAACTAAAACCACTCTAGTAATCATGAATTAAATTGACAAGCAAATTTTATAACCAAACGGTGTAATATTCTCCGCAATAAACTTATTAACAGTTTTAACATATTGACATCTTTATAATATAATTCTTGATGGTATAAGTAACGAATTATTAAAATTGCTTGCTCGTCAATTTAATTCGCGATTACTAGAGTGATTTTAATTACGTTTATAGTCGGGAAAATCAATTCGGCGTGCAGTTCGAAAAGATATATATGGAATATATGCAAGTACATATGTAGTGTATATTTGTAATTCAAGATTGAATTATTTAAAGTCCAGTTAATGAAAGTTAATGAAAATCCAGTTTTAACCGTAATAGGCATTTAAAATTTTTAGTATTGCTTGTATTTCTCACGTATGCAGCCTAAAATAAAGATCCTTAGTATTGTTTACATTTTTTTTGAAAGATTAAAAAAAAATTTTTTTAATTTTTTTAACAGAATGATATATACTATGTTGATGGAGTAATAAAATTCTATACTTTCAAGCCACAAAATATACAACATTCAATCAAAATATACAAGTATATACAAGATTTAGGCGTAGCAATTTAGACTACATGTTGACAATACATAGATATACACTACGTTTTTCATAAAGGATTATGATCAATTCAATTTGGATAATTGTAAAGTTGCGAAGGTATCTCAATATGAGGCCTATCTTAAGAAGAATTTAAAATGTAAAATTTGCGTTAAATTTTATCACACTGAAGAGGACCTGATGTAAAAAAGTCGAAACGTTTGTATGTATGTTTGTTTTATTGTTATTTTACGATAAACATATAAATATTGTGTAGCAAAAATCAAGCGTGGCTTCTTTGCCTCTTTATATATTCATTGTTTGAATTTTATTCGTTGGAACCTAATACGTTAGTTGTGTTTAATTTGTTAAATTTAATATTATACCAAACATAATAATTATAACATAAAACCAAAACCACTAACATATAATAATTATAAATAGTAATGGAGTATACGGGCAATGAGAGCGTTAACATAGCGCGGAAATTGATGTGCAATTCATGTAATAGTCAACTAATATTCACGTAATATATTAATAATGTACACCCTGTGCTGCAAATTCTTACAAGAAAAATTCGTGTGAGATTTTACAAAATAAT